AGGTTTAGGGTTTAGGACTTACCGTATACTCTGTTCGGAATAACTAGGGAGACTATTCCACTGTAGTTCGCGTATAATTCTACTATAACATCACTCGAGGCCCTACCTGTGACCCCAAACCCTACAAAATAGTAGGTCCTGACTCCTTAATTAGAGGGTAGAACCCTTAAAACGGTAGGTTTTTTGGATCCCCAGGTAAGCCCTAAACCTAAGGCAATTTCAATCGCACGCGATCCTGGGGTGTGCTGGAACCACAAACCCTATGTCAACCCTAAACCCTAAACCCTAAGCCCTAAACCCTAAACCTTAAACTCTAAACCCCAAACCTACAACTCTAAACTCCAAGCCCTAAGCCTTAAACCCTAAACTGGCCTTCTTCACCTTCGAGATGGCGCTGACGACCTGTCCGTGGCGTGCCGTTTTCTTTCTGGCTCTGCACCTTCGACTAAGCCTAATATTCAATCCTGAATGAAACTGCTAAGGGTTTAGGGCTTTGGAATGAGATGCTTCCACCAGGGACTCCCAAACAAGGTACCCCCTCGAGCCTCGACATAGAAGCCGAAACCGTAAGATACTTGAAGAAGCTCTCGAAATAAGGTACCACGGTGTACACTACTGTTGAGACACCTGCCAGTGAAGTTCACTTATGGTTTAGATCCTAGGGTTAGCTTCGGCGCTGTATAGCTTCAGCGCTGTAGCCTGTTACTGCGTTGGCCAAGCACGAACATGACCATGATAGCCTAAGCATCGTGGCCATGATCGTCATGATCCTGAATGCAGCAGTCAGCCCTTCCATGATCATCAACTGCACTGTCACTGCCGTGGTCACCATCATTGTCGTCATTGCGGCGACGGTCAGTCTTATCTGCAACAGCCTGGCACTTCTGCTGTCGATCACTCTATTCACGCTCACGAACCTTGCTCACCTCAAGCTTCATCCTCATCAGCAGACCAATAGCCACCATGGTCACCGCCATCGTCTCAACCTCCGATATTGCCCCTCGTCCTCGTCCTCCTCCTTCCTGCTCCTGCTCCTGCTCCTTCACAACGCCCTCTCATCTCAGCATCATCGTGGCCGTCGCTGCCAGCATCATCGCCGTTTACTCCACCATTCGGCATCAACATTGCCATCACCGCTGTCATCACCATCACCATCCCGACACAAGACATCGGATGCAGCAGATTTCACCTGCCTCCTGCTTCGTGTAAGCAGGTGCTTCATGAAGGGGAAGCCTCACTTGGCAGTGAGTCTCTTGGTTTGGGGCCTCGCGTTGAAACGACAATTGCCTTCGGTGGGTTGCAAGTCACAGGTTCCTGGTAGCCCCTTAATAATAAGGGTACCCTTAACCTTAAAACCCTAAACCGGAAACCCTAAAAACCACTAAACTCTTTTTCTTACCATTTGGATTTAACAAGGGAACCCAACAAGAAAGAGAGCAAAAGGGCACTACTCAGGAACCAGGAGTTTGAGGCTAGGTGATGCATGCCAGGAAAGGCTGCCCATTGAAGATGATCATGACTTCAGGGTTTAGGGTTTAGGGGTTTAGGCTTTAGGGTTTAGGACCCTAACAACTTTAACCCTAATGCCTAAACCCTAAAACCGTCAACCCTGTAAACCCCAAAACCTTACGCCCTCCCTAAAACCTTACTTGGAGGGTCGGGGGACTTAGTAAGTAGATATTAAGTAGAGACTAAGTAGAGTTATAAGTACTCTAAAAGGGATCCTAATTGGGGTTGTGATACTTGTAAGTCTATAAATAGCTACTTACGAGTCCGACCCTCCAAGTAAACTCCAAAAGCTTAAACCCAGGACCCCACAACCTTGAACCCTAAACCTTAGACCCGAGAGACCTAAAACCTTAGACCCTAAACCTCCAAACCTTAAACTCTTTAAACAGGGTTTCTGGTTCCCTGTTGGGGCTATATTAAAAATGATCATGTGTAATCCTACTGAGTTTTCTTGTGACAAAAATGTAAAATTGTATCCAACAAGGACCCAGGTTTAGGGTCAAGTGTTCTGGGTTAAAGAAGGCCCACACTGCAAAAGGAAAAAACACTACACTAACTGCCTTTGGCCGATTAGGGATTGAGCGCTTAGTTCGGTTTAGGGTTGCAGGGGCTTGGGTCTAAAGGGGTCGACAGGATGTCGACCTGTGTTCTGTGTTGGCTGGCTTAGCGATAAACTCGAGCTCAACCCTATCAAGATCAAGGACCCGACCATGCTGAAGCGCCAGCTTTTGCCCCAAACTTCTTTTGAAAGTAATGCTCCTAACCGATTAAGATCTCCAAGACCCAGTAAGGTTAAAATCTATAATTACCAAATGGGCTACCGACACAAAACGTGTTCCAAACTGAATTCTCATCGATTGGGAGTTTCTAAAACGACGCTGAACAGTCACACAACCACAATGAGCACACAGACCACGAAGCGGTCCTATCATGAACTCTGAAGCCACACGCGCTCAGGCAAGTTTTCGCAGCCTTAATTAAGCCTCAAGAACCAAGACGCCACACAGCAGACCTGGAAACCTAGTGCCCGTCGGCATGCCAATGCTTAGATAGGGACTAGGGCTTTGGGATTCAGATGGTCCAGGGTTTCGGGCTTAGGGCTTCTGAAGCATTATGCTCTAGGGTTAGCATCAGGGTTGGTGTTTTTTCGGGTTTGGGGTTTTACCGATTTTGGTGTTTGAAGGCTTGTGGGTTTTGCGGTTTGAGGGATCTGGGGATTGTGGTTCCAGGTTTACGGCTTTGGGCAGAGATTTCGGACTACGCCAATCGCTTGCAAGCTCGAGACTCAAAAAGATATTGGGTTTGCGGTTTAGGGTTTAGGGTGACGAGCATGAAAGCAGTTTCACTTGTAGTGCAAGCGAAATCTGTGATGTAGAGGGCTTAGTGATTAGAATGGTTTTTGGGGTTCCTGATGATTATAAGTATAGTATAATGTCCCTCCAAACCCCAATTCTAATTATTAAGCCCCCTATATTAGGAAGTTCACCCGAACGCCCACAGCCTTAAACCCAAGAGCCTGGGTCAGGCAAAAGATTGCGAAAGCCACCGCACAAATCCTCATAAACCCTAAGGCCCTAAGGCCGAGACCCTAAATCTTGAAAACCTCGTACCCTAAATCTTGAAATCCTCGTAAAGCCTAAGGCCAAGATCCTAAATCTTGAAATCCTCATAAAGCCTAGGGCCAAAACTCTAAATCTTGAAATCCTCATAAAGCCTAAGGCCAAAACTCTAAGTCTTGAAATCCTCATAAAGCCTAGGGCCAAAACCCAAAATTTTGAAATCCTCATAAAGCCTAAGGCCAAAACCCTAAATCTTGAAATCCTCATAAAGCCTACGGCCAAAGCCCTAAATCTTGAAATCCTCATAAAGCCTAAGGCCAAAACCCTAAGTCTTGAAGTCCTCCTAAAGCCTAACGCCAAAACCCTAAATGTTGAGACCCCTGTCTTCCTGAACCCTACCTGTGACCCCAAACCCTACAAAATAGTAGGCCATGACGCCTTAATTAGAGGGTAGAACCCTTAAAACGGTAGCTTTTTGGATCCCCAGGTAAACCTAAACCCTAAACCCTGAACTGACCCTAAACCCTTAACCCTAAACCCTAAACCGTAAACACTAAACCCTAGAGGAGTCCTACAGTCCTACAGTCCCAAACCGCAAAGCCCCAAAACCTACACCTCTAAAGTCCTAAACCCACAGCCCTAATAAATCCCTAGTCCCTTATAGATCCCTTTAAAGGATCCCTTTAAAGGAAACCTAAATCCCTAATCCCTTAGAGATCCCTTTAAAGGATCCCTTTAAAGGAGACCTAAATCTCTAAACCCTTAGAGATCCCTTTAAGGGAACCCTAAACTGCTAACTGTAAAAGGATCAATTTAAAAGAACCCTAAACCGCTAACCCTTAGAGATACCTTTAAAGGATCCCCAAACCCTTGGCCGGGTCCTCTTCGGGAACCCCGAGTCCAAAGTTGGAGGCCCTTTAAAGGGGTTTGGGGTTTAGGGTTTAGGGTTTAGGGTTTAGGGTTTAGGGGTTTGGGGTTTAGGGCTTACTTGGAGGGTCAGGGGACTTAGGAACTGGTTATTCTCTAGACTTATAAGTCTCATAACCCCAACTAGTATCCCCTTTAGGGCCTTAGGGTACTTATAACTCTACTTAATATCTACTTACTAAGTCCCCCGCCCCTCCAAGTAGGGTTGAGGGTTTGCTAAGTTCAGAAGTCCCAAAACGGGTTTAGGAAGTTGGAGGGTTTAGGGCTTAGGGTAAAGTATACAGGGGATAGTCTTATCCCTTATCCACAACACTGCAGTGTGCAGCCATTCAGCTACCAAGTTTCTAAGCTTAGGACTCCTCTGAGGGTGCTGTAAAATGGTTTCTGGATGGCTCAAAGGGTTGTGGGGTTTCTGGGTTTATGGTTGGGGATGGTTGCGGGTTTAGGGTTTCCACTGTCGTGGGGGTTAGGCTTTCTACGGCCGTGGTACCTTTGGGTGCCTCGCTGTCGCATGCAGTCCTGGAAGTCGAGTCGTGTGCACGGGGCCACCCAGTGCTCGTGCATCGGCACTCAGCAGGCCCTGGAATGCTCTTTCCAGCCGCGATGTACCCCATGTCCAGGTACACTGGCCCATCTTCGCCGCCTTAACGAACGCCGCGCAAACGGCATCTCGAAGGGCCGGCTTCTTCACGCACCGAAGTGTGTGAAGGCGCCCGCAGAGAATGCATTTGGCTTTTCGTTTCGCCAAGCTGCCGCCCGCAGTGCATATCTGCGTGCAAGACCCACGGACCGGAAGTTGAGCCGGCGAGCCAGAGGCTGCGGCGGATCCGGGATATGCACCCACCATAGGAGCTGGCTTCTCTCCAAAATGACGAGAGTCGCAGTCGCAGTAGCAATCTCAGTTTAACCCCAAATATAGCCTAGACTCAAGTCCCAGGAGCCAGCAAGTAAACCCTTGAAGCCTAAACCCGAATGCTTCGAGGTTTGGCTGTCCGAGGCAACGGCCCCTTCTGCTGCTCCTGCTTCTTGGCCCACCACCTCGGCAGCCAATTTCCAAGCTGTAAACCGGAAGTGAAGCCTTGCAGATCTAGGTTTAGTGTTTAGGGTTTCGGATGTAGAATCTGGCTACTGCTCCCATACAGTAACAATCATCTATAAGAGGGCTAATTACTATTGAGGGCCTGTGTGAATAGTATTCAACTGTTTCGGGGCAGTGTCCAATGTGGAATCGGGTCTGAATCGTCAGAATAAGGTTCCTTTGAGGGTTACTTCAAGGGTTTTTCAAGAGTTGCCTTAATACAATGACTACCTCAGCCCACCAGAACCCACTTTTTTCTAGGGTCCCTATCAATCCCAGATTAGGGTTTATAATAAGAACCTACAAGAAAGTGGGGTTTTGGTTGGTTAAGGTAAGTGTCGAGGCTTCTAAATTACTATGAATCCTAGATCCGCCGTTTCAAGACGGTCAGGGCTCTACTCCTTAGGGTTTGGGGGCTTGGGATGTAGTGCTTTCTGGGGCTTTCTCAGGCCGTTAGGGCCGTTAGGGTTTAAACCCCATAAAACCCGCTTAAAGCCCTATAATAGGGCTTTAAACGGGTTTTATGGAGTTACTATACCCTAGTGCCCGATGAAACGCTAAACTCCTTCGAAAATTCCCAGTCAACGCCAGCGGAGCCCGAAGCGCGGGCCAGAGCTCATAAGTTCCTTAAGGGCGAAACGAACATTAAAAATGGGGGCCCTATTCTGATACTATGAACCCCTATATGGTATATGAACCCTAAGACCCTTTTAGGGCTCTTTTCGTGCTTAAAGTTCGAACAGCATTCTTTCTCCAGCACAAGCACAGACGAGATCCAGTCTTGATCCACGTCGCCAACGTAGGATTAGGGTTTAGGGTTTAGGGTTTAGGGTTTAGGGTTTAGGGTTTAGGGTTTAGGGTTTAGGGTTGGATTACGCGTCGAAAGCATATTAAGGAGCTGCCCTTGGGCTGAAGGAGCATTGAACGGGAGGCGGTATCGGAGAAGTCTTGTCGCTCCTGCAAGCCGGCGGCCTTGGTCTGCTTCCTTAAGGCGGTTTAGGGTTTAGGGTTTAGGGGTTTAGGGTTTAGGGTTTAGGGTGAAAACCTATGAGCATGTCCACAATCCTCTCATAATGTAGGGGCCAAACCTTAACCGTGGAGCCCTGACAGGTACCCTAACAGGAAGAAGCCGCCGCACAAGACAGTGTAATGCAGGGGCCTTAATAATTAGAATAGGGTTTTGGAGTATCTTATACTATAATTACAATAAAGAAACCCCCCGGAATACTATTGGCAACTGTTCAGCTTCTGCAGTAAACAGAAGCCATGCGAAAGGCTCAGGAAACCATGAGTACTCCTCAAAGCTCACTTTGAATTCCTGAAACCCTAACCCCTAAGCCCTAAACCCTAAGCCCTAAACCGAACCCTAAACCCTAATCCCAAAGCCCTAAGCCCTAAACCCTGAACCCTACTCCCTAAACTCTAATCCGTAAACCCTAATCCCTACCCACAGGCCCTAAAGTGTTCCTTTTGGGGATTCAAATATAGAATCCTATAAGGTAATCCCAAAAAGGCACTACTATGGGGCCCATGGGTAAGCCCTAAACCCTAAGCCCTAACCCTAAACCCTAATCCCTAATCCCTAAACCCTAATCCCTAAACCCTAATCCCTAAACCCTATAGTCCATAAACGCTAATCCAGAGAGCCCAATATCCCTTAATTAAGGAATTCACCTTAAATCATTATTTTAACCCCCATATAGTTTAAGGTATATTGCTTAATTAAGGGGTATTGGGCTCTCTGGGAATCCCTAAGCCCTAAACCTAAACCCTAAACCCTAATCCCTAAAAAGCCCGAAAAGAACACCCAGGGCGCCCTGCGACTCGAATTCTGCCAACTTCTCGGCTGCAGCCTCGGTCTTGTTGGCACTCACCTCGCGGAAGTCTCGGCTTCGGGTCTAGGGTTAAGGGTTTAGGGTTTAGGGTTTAGGGTTTAGGGTTTAGGGTCTAGGGTTTAGGGTTTAGGGTTTAGGGTTTAGGGTTTGTGGTTTGGGGCTGAAGTTAAATTTGGGGTCTAGGGTTGTCTTTTTTTTTTGAGCGCCTTTTTCTCCAGCGTCCCTCCGGAACGCTTGTTTCAAGCGAGACGACCCACAACAACCCTTTACCAAACCCATTGGCTCCAGAGGTGCTGCGGTAGGTGTAGGGTTTTGGGTTTAAGGTTCGGGGTTTAGGATTTAGGGGTTAGGGTTTACGGCTTAGGAGCATACAAAGGCACAGGTGGTTGTCTAGGAAACTTAACACCCTGTCTCAAAGGTGTTGTGCTGTCGACAGCTCTGCCCCCTACGCCCTCAACCCCTCCAGAATCATCACTTTCAGGGTAAAAGCAACCCACCGCCATCCCCCAATTCCTGGGTCCGAATGAGGGAACCATATTATTCACGAGAGATCCATACCATGGTAACTTAAACAAGATTCCTTACCGAGAAGAGGTTCAGGGGTTACCTGAGGCAGGCTCGCCGAGCCACTGCATGCTTGAGGCGCTCTTGTGTGCGGTAACCGTCGCAGCCCTAAACCCTAAACCCTAAACCCTGAACCTGAACCCTAAACCCTAAACCCTAAACCCTAAACCCTAAACCCTGAACCCTGAACCCTAAACCCTAAACCCTAAACCCTAAACCCTAAGTGTGCGGCA